ATCTAGACCTTGTTGATTATCTAAATTCTGCACAACAGTTCTCTATTCTAATCTTATGACATCTTTTGTACATTTTAACAGTGTATTTAAAACTCTCACAAGGACAAAACGTTAGTTTGGGGCATCAATTTTCTAAGTAGCAACAGAATGCACTAGACTGCAACAATGGCCAGTCCATGACCTATTTCTGGCCAGTTTTTCTCTCAACAAAAGCTCAGCCAATGCAATTTAAAAATCCAGGCAATAAGCAAGCAGACACAGAAATGTTCAATCTCGCAAAGCTATTGCTGGTCTTGAATCACAATGCTACGTCCATGCATTGCTGAAAAAGTTAATACCAAACATAGTATTGTATATATTTTTAACCTATAAATTGTGTCTATTAACTCATTGCTAAACGAAAAGAGGGAGACATGACACTTGTGTGCAGCAAGAACACAACCTCCGACACAAATGCATCACCCTGTTCGGATTATAAAATGGAGCTGATTCGGAAATTGGGCACTATCCTGCTTTTCCAGCTGCCAGTAAAAGGTGTTCATCATGTTCCCTCTCTTAACATGTAAGCCTCTCCAGGACATGTTAATTAAAAGTAGTATACAGTCCCTGAGCTCTTCACACAGCAGGCAAAGTCACGGTCCCCACCCTGAGGAGTTTAAATCTTTGTTAGACACGACATGACTGGTAGGGATGTTAGAAATCGGTTGTTTTAATAACCATGTAACCGCTAAGAATTTTACTTGGTTCCACCTGGGAGGTTGAGGCCGGCAGCCTGTGTACTCCCAGCTCCAATCCCAGGGAGCCCCCTACTGCTCAGCCCCTGTACACAGGGGGCCTGAAGGACAGGGGCTGCCACCACCTGTGTTTTCTTTATTTAAAACTCGGACCAGTGGGCTGAGAGACTCAGCTAGCCTGCTGGTCCAAGTTTTTAATTCAGAGCACGTGGGGAAGGAGGGACTGTTAACAGATAATCAGCTCCTTAGCCGTTAACGTCCCTAGTGACTGGTATGATTCAGTGAAATAATTGCTTGTTTCTGCATGGTACACATGAACAGTTTTGATCGGTCAGAATTAGATTTGAGAAACTGTGTTAGGCTATGTCTAGACTGCAGAGTTTTTCTGGGATACCAGTGATATTTATTTTATGAGGAATAAGCGATCTTCCGAAAGAGGAGGATTTTTTGACATTTGGCCCCGTGTAGATGGGACAAATGTTGGAAAAGCCTCTTCTGAAAAAAGAAGCGGAAAAAGATAAGCAAATTGCAAAGTGCGATTTGCATATCTTTTTCCAACACCCCTACTCTCCCGCCCCGCCCCGTAGACAATAGCCTTAATGAGAAGTGCATTTGAAAAGGAGGGTATAATGGATACAGGTAGAAGATTACTGGCATAAGGGCAGCAGGACAGAAAGGGGAGTATAGAAGCATTCAGGTGCATAGGGTAAACTATAGAGCCTGGAAAGATACAGGAATAAAATGAGCATAAAGCTCAAGTAGGAGTGGGGAGAAGATTCAGAGATGTGTGGAGACTAGAAAATGAAGAGGGAATGCATTCCTTTCAACAAATATGAATAGCATCGGTGATGTTCTCTTAAGGAACAAACTTCTCAAATGTAGGAAAGTTGCAATCACACTTATAGTATAGCAGCTAATAAAAGAAATGGAGAAAGTCAGTACGCTGAAGAAATACTACAAGGGAAAGGGTATCCATGCCTGTGTCATCTCAAGACAGGATTAAAGAAATACATGGTCCATAAGATAACAGAGGCGATGGATAAAGGTTTGTAAAACAAACGATGTGGTAAAAATAAGTGTTATTTTTCCCTTCATACAACACACTAATCAGGGATCACTGATGACATTAACAGGCAGCAGGTTCAAAACCAACCAAATGAAGTACTTCTCACAATGCACAGCCAACCCGTGAAACTTGTTGTGAAACACAAAAGTATAACTGGACTCAAAAAAGAATTAGATGGAGGATAGGTCCATCAATGGCTATTAGCCAACATACCAAGAGCATGGAACCATACCCCTGGCTATCCCTAAACATCTGATTGCCAAATGGAGGGACTGGATGGCCGGGATCACTTGATAATCTGCTCAGAGCTCCAGTATAAAGAGGGAGAAAAGCCTGTTGAGAGTCTACGGATTAAGTTTAGAGGCAGAAGCAATGGGGTGATGTTGTGCTTGGTGTCTGCTATAGACCACCAGATCATGTAGATGAGGCTTTCTTCAGACTACTAAGAGAAGCTTCCAGATCACAGACCCTGGTTCTCCTGGAGGACTTTACTCACTTTGTTGGGAGACCACTATAGCAGTACACAGACAATCCAGGAAGTTGTTGGAGAATGCTGGGGATAGCTTCCTGGCACAAGTGCTGAAGGAACCGACCAGGAACCATGCCCAGCTTGACTTGCTGCTCACAAACAGGGAGGAACTAATAGGGGAAGTAGATGTGGGTGGTAACCAGGGAAGTAATGACCATGAAACGGTAGATTTCAGGATCCTGACAAAAAGGAAGAAAGAAGAGTAGCAAAATACACACCCTGGATTTCAGAAAAGCAGACTTTGACTCCCTCAAAGAATTGGATGGGCAGGATCCCCTGGGATACTAACACGTGGGGGAATGGAGTCCAGGAGAGCTGGCAGTATTTTAAATAAGCCTTATTGAAGGCACAGGAAGAAACCATCCCGATGCGCAGTAAGAAAAGCAAATATGGTAGGTGACAAGATTGGCTTACCAGTAAGCTTAAACACAAAAAGGAAGCTTATAAGAAGTGGAAACCTGGACAGATGACTAGGGAGGAGTATAAATATATTGCTTGAGAATACAGGGGAGGTATCAGGAAGGCGAAAGCGCAATTGGAATTGCAGCTTGAAAGGGATGTGAAGGGTAATAAGAAAGGTTTCTACAGGCATGTTAGCAATAAGAGGGTGATCAGAAAGGTTGTGGGGCCCTTACTGGATGAGGGAGGGTGACAGATGATATGGGAAAAACTGAAGTACACAATGCTTTTTTTTGCCTCTGTCGTCACAGACAAGGTCAGCTCCCAGACTACTGACTCTTTTTGGAGGAAAAATGAGGAAGAACGGCTCTTGCGCAAAAGGGTTTTTTTGCGCAAAAAGGAGCCATCTACGCAGCACTTTTTTGTGCAAAAACCTCTTGCACAAAAGGGGTCTGAGGGGTTAATGCAAATAAAGACTGCGACATATGCAAATGAGCACTCCATTTGCATTTCTTCTTGCGGAAGAGAATCGTAGTGTAGATGTAGCTTCAGAGTGCAATCCACAGTGATGTTTGATTCAAAGCCTTAATGGCTTAGGGAACAAGTTACACAACAAACACTAAGAACTTTACAAAGAACGATGTAATTATATTTCCAAAATACAATATACTATATGTTTACTAATGTTTTAAAAACCTCCCAATTACCATACCAAATTCTCCATTCTCATTAAGAAAAAGGCTACTTAAAATTTTTTAGATTTTCATTTTTGTAATTTTATTTTTCTTTGCCATGGTTGTTACTATTACAGACAATACATACTTAGGGATTTTACTGTAATGCTAATGCCAATACAGACATAACAAACCTTGTGTATAGGGTAGACGTTGTACATCTTGACTTCAATAAGTCTTTTGATGCTGTTTCGTGACCTCAAAAACCAACTAGGGAAATATATTATAAATGGAGCTACCATAGGGTGGGTGCATAATGGTTGGAAAATGTTCCCCGAGAGTGGTTATCAGTGGTTCATGGTAAAGCTAAAAGGGCATATCAGGGACAGGAGAGTCTCACTAATACTTATGCTGGAGAATGAAACAAGTAATTTTCAAGGATTCTTTAGGGGGTTTTTTTTTTTTTTTTTAAGAAAACAAGGCCTATCATAGACTTAAGTTCTGACAGTGAAACTTTCATAGGGTTTTACAGGTCAGATTTCCAAGATACTTTACTCCCTTAAACAATGTTTACTTCTCAGTCCTTTTGCTTCATTTTGCCTTAAGAGGCACTAAAGATTTTACAGTTATTGCTATAACAATACATTTAAGTGGCTATTGTGCATCTACTATATAGCATACCAGAAGCCTTACCAGGCATTGCTTGGTCCTTCAGGGCAGGTGGCTGGGTGTGGGTGGGGTGCAGGAGTCAGAGCAGGGGATGGTGGTTGGAGGACAGGGGTTGGAGGTCTGGAGGGGGAGGGGGCCCTCAAGGGGTGGGAGTAGTCAGTGGCTTCTCCCCAGAGTTGGTCTGAGAGTAGGTGGGACAGCGGGGGCCATGCAGCCCAGCCAGTGGCTGCTCGTTGTCCTCCTGTGGTCATTCTGGGGCCCATCCCATTGTCCTTGTGCAACCTAACCCTGACCTTGCTTTGTGTTATGATAAGAAGCAGCTGCATTCCAAATGTGGAGGTCCTAGCTCTTATCTTTTAGAAGGAGTTCTTAAGCAAATGGACTCAGACGGATACACAGACAGATGCAGAAACTCTCAAATATATAGTAGACAATATATTCTTCCATCAAACATTTCCATATTTTTAAAATGCTAATTCATACCCTAATTCATAAATGTAAAACTAGTCTGAAAAATGACTTTAAGAACGCGTTGTGGAGATTCATATTTGCTTAAATGACTTCCAGGTTAAATTTACATAGACAATTTTCCAGTCCTATAAACTCCACATGGCTTCTTTCATTCTCAAACACAAGTACTAATAGATTCTGCACACCCAGAATCACGCAACCCATGCAACCACATTCTCTTTAAAGGCTTTTAACAAATAAATGTGATATACAGAAAGCAGTAAAACAGCTCGCATTCTTTGCTGTGTTGGTTAACACTGAAGCCCTGTGTATTTATAGTTGCAGCTGTGGAAACAACTTTGCTGAGCAAAAGTACACCCCTTTTATACAGTCACTTTTCAGAGCAGAATTGCACTTTAAAAACCTACATTTTCATTCACACGTTTGACAGGATAATATAAATATTTTTGTGAGTCTACCTGTGCATTTGTATAGCATTCCTGTCATGGTCCCAGCAGCTATTGTGTTCAGGTCATCTTCTGCACCTCGTGTTTTCTCTATGACGACTCCAAATGCGCTGTAAAGCAATGCTGGGAGAGAAATAAGTTATTGGTAAAATATCAAAACATTTACACCAAATTACCTGCAAATGACATACACGTACTAGAAGAGATAAAATTAACCAGGCCTTGAATTGTGGCCTCACTACAGCTTTCAGAGCTGTACATCTGGAGCTCATCATTCATATTTTGCATTTCTTGTTGAGTCTTTGCAATGTCCTTTTACTTCTACCATAAATGCCTTAAGACTGCATCTTTTGTCTTTTCAGTCTTTAATGTTTCATCATTTCTGTTTTGTAAGGAAGACATCGATACCTTATGCACTTAGTTAACAGGAAAGCATTGATCTGAAGAACAGTCTCCATGGCCAAAAGGAATCTATGAATTCTTAGTAAGGGTGCATGAGCCCATACCAGCAAACAAACTAATCTCTGATATAACTTAACAGTATCTAAAATCTTCATATAGGGCAAAGACTAATAAAGAATGTCATGCCACTCAAAACAACAGACACAATACTGTTAACTATTCTTGCTGCTCTAAAAGCCAGTACTTATTCCTCCCCAAACAGGCTCAATTAAAATGCTACTTAATATGAACAAGGATACTGATCTGGCCTTAAGTGTGCAGTGTTATAGGAAAAAACTCTTGTTCTACAGACTCCTCTGAAATGGATCACTCCATAAATGGACACCTGTAACAGTGCAGAATCATCTTTGTTTTGCAGAGACTCTTGAAAACTAACACAAACAGTCAAGTGGGAAAGGAGAGGGTTGCTCCTTATTGCTGACACACACACACAAGGCACTCCACATGGAGAAAAATCATGGCGCTTCCACAGCACCTAAAACAGGAAAACCAATTCTCATGTCATGCCTGGCACTCCTAAGGAGTATAATATGCTGACTAGAAAGGTCATGTTCTATAGGAAATTTGCACACCAGAAGGCCACTGGAATGCATGCCAATATAACTAAGGCAAACACTGAAAAGGAAGATTACTCAAGAAAACAAACACAGCTGTTAAGAATTTGTTAATATTTCACTCATGACACTAGAACCTTGAACTGCAACATGCAGTACTTTTTCCATAGGCATGTTTTCACTATATGGTTTCCAGTCTGATAAGGTAACCATATTTTTAAAATGATAATTCATACCCTAATTAATAAATGTAAAACTAGTCTGAAAACAGGTAAATCTAAGAGAGAACTGTCATTATGAAGTTTTAGTACATCTTGTTCAATATCCTGTCTGACAATGGGAAACAGGCACGTAAAATCCTGTTTAATCAGTTAACCGGTTGAACCGAGGCAGGAGGATGGCTCAGGCAGGCTAGAGCACCTTCCACCCGTGGTGCAGTGGGACAGTATCCTTGAGCTGCTCCAACCTGGCCAAGCTGCCAAGTAAGCATAACCAGTAAGCATTACCCAGTAAGGGTGATGCTTAACGGTTAATCATTCACATCCCTAAAGGCAAGTACCAGAGACTTCAGATGAACAGCAAGCAAAACAATCCCGCACGAGCAGATATCGGGTAATCTGCTCCCCACATCATGTCATCCAGATTTCTAACAGTTGGGCTACGTCTAGACTGGCATGATTTTCCACAAATGCTTTTAAAGGAAAAGTTCTTCCGTTAAAAGCATTTGCAGAAAAGAGCGTCTAGATTGGCACGGACGCTTTTCCGCAAAAGCACTTTTTGTGGAAAAGCGTCCGTGCCAATCTAGATGCGATTTTGCGCAAGAAAGCCCCGATTGCCATTTTCGCCATCGGGCTTTTTTGCGCAAAACAGTTTTTAGCTGTTTACACTGGTCCTCTTGTGCAAAAACATTTCCGGAAAAGGGCTTTTGCCCGAACGGGAACGTCAAAGCATTTGCGCAAGAAGCACTGATTTCGGACAGTAGATCGTCAGTGCTTTTGCGTAAAATCAAGCGGCCAGTGTAGACAGCTGGCAAGTTTTTGCGCAAAAGCAAGTGCTTTTGCGGAAAAACTTGCCAGTCTAGATGCAGCCTTACAGATTGGCTTAAATCCTGAAATACAAAGTATGTTCTCCAAAAATTGGTGTAAATTAATTATGCCTCAGGATATCTGTGAAGTTATCCAATCCCTTTTGGGACACCTTAAATTCTTAGTATCAACTTCCTGCAGCAATTTATTCCCTAGTTTAATCAAACATTCCATACAAATAAATCACTGATCAGGTTTTTTCCCCTTCACCTTGCTATTTCATTGAAACCCTCATCCCTTGTTCTTGCATGAGAGAGGGAGAACAAAAGTTCCTGATTCACATTCTCGCCACAAGCTATCATGTCCCAACTTCTTAGTCTTATTTTCTGAAGGTAAACAACCCCAAACATGTCCATCTCTCTTCAGGCCATTGATCATTCTTGCTGCTCTCCTCCGGAGCCTCTTTAGTTCTGTAATGTCCTTTTAGGATATGTCTACACTGCAGCTGGGAATCAGCCTCTTAATCTGAGTAAGACTGCCTTGTGATAGCAGGTTGAACATAGCAATGTGGACAATACAGCTCAGGCTTTCAAGTTTAAGGGGTTGTGTGGCTTGAGAGCCTGAGCTGCAGCCTGAGCCCTGTTAACTTGAGTCTACGTACCCAGGCTGGGAGGATTGCTCCAAGCTGCAGTTCAGACATACCCTAAGAAACTGGACGGCTAATACTGTACACAGTATTTCACCTTTGATTTATGTAATATTATAATCTTAATTATTCATAATCCCATTCCTTTATGTATCTTTAAGTTTTTTTTAGCTACAGCTGCCCCAAAGCAGCGCACTTCTTTGAGCTTCCTACAGCACCCCCAAATCCCTTTCTTGGGTGGAGACAGCATATACGGAATTCTAAATTACCTAATCTATACATGTCCCTCTAGTGTGCATCACTACTTGGCATTTAGCAATACTGAATTTAATTTGCTATCTACAATACTGGGAAGAGAAATACAAATATATCATTTTAGGTTGTCTATTGTCCTTAATTACTCCCACTAATCCTTGTTTTTCTTGCAGGCCCACTGATTTTTGTTCAGTCTTCTTACTTCTGATATACTAAAACAAGCCTTTAGTTTGTTATTTACACACATTTAGCTATTTGGTCTTCAAAATTCATTTTGAACTTTCAAATTTCTCTCAATGTTTGCTGTATTTTTCAGAGACCAAAAAATGGTTACTAATTAATGACTAAGCAATTGTCATAAAACAAATGAAAGACTGACAGAGAAAGGTCAAAAGCTTCAGAGGGGTAGCCAAGTTTTAAGTTTTTCCAGAGTAAGGTCAAGTTAATTCTACAAAAGTCACTGTTCAGAAGACTAGAGAATTTGGATGACCAACTTCAGACACCAGAAAGGGACTGCATTTTCAGACAGTGCAGAGCACCAGTCTCTGAAAAATTGGGCCTTCTAGAGGTCTTAAAATTGAGATCCAAAATAACCAGGTGTTTTAATTGGCTTCAAACTCTTTCTTCATTGTTTAGTTTGAGATAAGTTTGACTTACCCAAGGATCCCAGAGTGTTAGCCCATAGAGCGCCTTGCCTTGTTACCATGTTTAAAATTCTGAAGATTAAAATAAAAGCATTGTATAAGTTTCATTAAACACCTTATTTAATAATCAGGTCCTATGGGCTCCAATCAAGATGATACTAAGCACTATGTAATACATATTTAATTCTATATATTTAATATGACAACTACAATATGAGGACCCAATATAAAGTCATTCCATCATCAGAGGAAACCATGTATTCTTAAAACTTGCTCATTTCAGGAGTCAATTTAAAATATTTGACTTCTGGTACTGCTGTTCAGTTCAAAACAGTTTCTGTTATTAAAATGTCCCTTTCCACTTCTGGAAGTGCAAAGTGACAGTCAAATGCCAAATGACATCTATTAGAGTGCTTCTAAATGATACCATAGTACTGATCTTCTAGTCACACCAGGTGTTAGGCTTTGTGTATACTAGCACTTTTGTCAGTAAAACTTGTGTAAATTATAGACAAAACAAAACAAAAAACCACCACCCTCACAGACATAAGTTTCATGAGTAAGGTACCAGTGTGGTACTATGGTGGCAGGAGACACTCTCTGCATAGCTACTGCTGCTCATTAGAGATGGTTAATTATGGTGATGGGAGAGCTCCTCTCCACCAGTGTAGAGCAGCTACACAGGTGACCTTATAGTGGCAGACCTACAGTAGTAAGCTGTGCTGCTCCAAGGACTGTTGTGCAGACCTAGCCTCTGACTCACTCCCCTAATAACTTAAGACATGGGAATGACAGGAGGGAACTGGACAAGGAAGCCAATCAATTTTCTTCTTGCCATGTCATTTCTACCACGGATACTACAAATAAAAAATTAGCCACTCAATGCTGAGTACAAGTATTTTGCCCGGTCAGGACCTAAACAAAATGGAAAATATCTTCTTTCCAATGTCCCGCACCACCTGGCATATTCTTCTCCAAATAACCCAACTTCTCAGTTTTAAAACTTTATTATACTATAATTGTGAGTGACTTGCTAGCTGCGTTACAGCAATATTAGTTGTACTGTGGCCAGTGGCCTGGCAGCAGCCCCTGCCAGGGCCAGGATATCAGTTGGTCTGGTAGCAGGTGTTGACCACTCCTGGTCCAGCAAACTCCCTCATTTGGAACCAGTCATGTCCAAAAAGCGTAGGATCATGATGGTCAAACCTGAACCTATTTAATCATCAGCAGGGCTTGACAAACCATGGAGAAATCCACTTGTCAGCCCCACACGCGCATGTGCCAGACCCTCTCTGCACATGCACGCACCGCCGGTGAACGGGGCGACCGGCTGAAATCTACTCTCCATGGGCGAATAGAATATGTCGAGCCCTGATTATCAGCACCAACTACTGCAGTACAATAGGTATCTTTGACCCAGTTATGACTTAGTGTGCTCACTTGTAGCTTAAGAGACAGCAACATAGGCTGACAATTACTTGATGAGAGCTTCCAGGTAGCCAGCGTTCCAAGAGCTGAAGCTGGTAGGCCCAGCAGCTGGCACTTGTTCTTGACGTCAACACTGAACCAGCACCCAAATGTGAGGCAGTGTAGTGAAGACTGAGAGGGTGGCTAGTTTGAAGAACAACTATTTCACTAAAATGGAAGCATTTGAAATGGTCCAACATGCATGTTTTAGTAACAACTGATCGTACTGGGACACGTTAGGCTAAAAGAAAATTGCAGTATATTTAAAAGATGATTAAAGGAAATAATTCTACATATTTATTTGCTCCTGCAGTCATGTACACTATAAGAACTTAAGAAATTTAATGTTTCATGTGTGCTTCCAGACAGATTTGCACTCAAGAGTGAAGGCAAATTATTAGCACATTCTCAGGGAACCTCAGCACTGTTCTACACTGGTGGCAGCTGCTTTCAAAGTGTGATTACAGCCATACGATTAAATGGCCAATATCTTTATGTACCAGCAGTGTAACAGTATCACAGGTCAGGTAAAGCCTCAGCTTATAGCCACTGGAATTCAGTATCAAACTATGAAAACATATTTTACATTTAGTTTCTGAACTATCAAGCTTTTCCCCCCTTTTTCCTGTTTGTGCATTAACAGTACAACATTGAATGCTTCCAGATTTCAATGATTTGAAAGTCTATGGAGAAGTTCATTCTGAAACCAGCTGGTGTAGTACAAGACAGAAGAGGTATGCAAGTATATCCATCTTTCTGAAACAACTCGACACTCTCCATTTTCCCGATTTACCAGTTTTACATGAAGTTTGAGAATTTAAACAACCAGGAAATTCAATAAGAATAGCAATGTTAACTGGGACTTATTGCATACACGTTTTGAATAGCTGAAAGTTAAATGAAGTCTTTAGCTGTATTGCTAATTTTTTTCAGAAAAAAAAAATCTGTGCATCTGTCTCTGTCCATAAGTCCATTTGTTCAAGAACTCTTAAATAGCTTATCAATAAACTACGCAAATACAACTTAGATCGTACTACAATAAGGTGGGTGCACAACTGGCTGGATAACTATTCTCCAGAATAATAACTATTAGAGTAGTTATTAACAGCTCACAATCCTGCTAAAAAGGCACAACAAGTGGGGTTTCACAGGGTCTGTTCTGGGACTGATTCTGTTCAGTATCTTCATCAACGACTTAGATATTGACAGAGTATGCTTATTAAGTTTGCAGATGATACAAAGCTGGGAAGGGTTGCAACTTCTTTAGAAGACAGGGTCATAATTCAAAATGATCTGGATAAATGGGAGAAATGGTCTGAGGTGAATAGGATGAAGTTTAATAAGGACAAATGCGAAGTACTCCACTTAGGAAGGAACAATCCATGTCACACATACAGAATCGGAAGCAACTGTTTAAGAAAGAGTACTGCAGAAAGGGATCTAGGGGTCATAGCGGACATTATGCCAAATGTGAATCAACAGTGTGACGCTGTTGCAAAAAAACCCAAACATGATTCTGGGATGCATTAACAAGAGTGTTGTGAGAAAAACATGAGAAGTCATTCTTCTGCTCTACTCTGCACTGATTAAGCCTCAATTGGAGTATTGTGTCCAGTTCTGGGCACCACATTTCAAGAAAGATGGAGAAATTGGAGAAGGTGCAGAAAAGAGCAACAAGAATGATTAAAGGTCTAAAGAACAATGACATATGAAGGAAGTCTGAATGAACCGGGGTTGATTAGTTTGGAAAGTAGAGGACAGAGGGGACATGATAGCGGTTTTCAGGTATCTAAAAGGGTGTCACAAAGAGGAGGGAGAAAAATTGTTCTCTTGGCCTCTGATGATAGGACAAGAAGCAATGGGCTTAAACTGCAGCAAGGGAGGTTGGACATTAGGAAAAAGTTCCTAACTGTCAGGGTGGTTAAACACTGGAATAAATTGCCTATGGAGGTTGTGGAATTTCCATCTCTGGAGATATTAAGAGCAGGTTAGATAGTACTGGCTCCTGTCGGGAGGGCAGGGGACTGGACTTGATGACCTCTCAAGGTCCCTTCCAGTTCTAGTGTTCTATGAAAGCTAGAACCACCAAATTTGGTATGCAACTTCTGCTTATCATAACTAAAGCAAGGTCAGGCTTTGGTTGTGCCAGGACAATGGGAGGATCATGAAATGTGATTGTGAGTATAACTCTCCCTGCTATCACACCCCTCCCTTTGTTTGATGTGACACAAATGACCACAGGGGGGCAAGCAAGTAGCCCAGCCCTGGGGAACAGTCCCTTCCAAGCTACCCCATGGAGCAGCTGTTGGGTGTCCTGCATGTCGTCCCCCCCCAAATGCTGGGTAAGTCTTCTAGTGTTTACATAAATGTAAATTTAAAGTTAGGAATGTGATTTTTTAAAGATAAGCTTACGTAACCTATTGAGCATTTAACTAAATAGGACTGGACAGCACAGGTCTTCCCTGACAACGGCTGGAGCTTTCAGTGGTCATCTTACTTTGATAAATAAGGTATGGTTTTATTTAAGTTGATGTAATCAGATAACAGTATAAAAACAGATTGTTCTAATAAACTACAGGCAAAGAACAGAATTTCATGAAAAAGGCTTTTTAGTTCAAATAGTTACTGGCAGCAATAAAACTCAAATTTACTATTGGTAGAATTAAGGAAAGACTTTTCAATGTAGTCATTAGATGAGTCAGGCTTAGTCTTGCTCCTAATGACACCAGTGTCAAAACTTCCATCAACTTCAGGTAGCACAATGCTCTCCACCTAAGAAGCAGGCAGAAGCTCTTGGCATATATTACTGAAAGTAGATATTTCTGCCATCTTTCAAAAATTAATTCACATTGTTTGTGATGATGATTTATAGGATACGATTCTGTCATAGAGGTCATGGATTCCATGACTTTCCAGGACCTTCATGTGATCTTCCACAGCAGCCGGCCTTCTCCAAGGCTGCCAGAGCAGTGATATGGCTAGAGCAACTGCCAGAGATCAGCTCATTACGTCTTTTAGTAAAAGTCAGGAACAGCTTTCTGTGAACTCTCTTCTTTTTTATTGCCATGACCTGTCCCTAACTTATTAAAAAGTACCTGATGCAGAATCTTAACCTTAGTGATTATCTAATAGAAAATGTCATTTGACGGAGATGTAAATGAAACTGTTTTGTCGGATAAGAGACATGTGATGAGTGTCTATCCTTGCAACTGAATATGAAAGGGTGGATTGCGTACAGTATTTCAAGGTGGTGACCTTCAATGTATTTCACTGGTGTTGCAGAAAAGAACAAACTTAGCTGGAGACTGTGTGTCTATTGCCATCTACTGGCTCAACTTGATCAAAAATATTCATAGGACAGTCCCAAGGAAATAGTTAATTTTCTTGCCTCAATTTGCTCACTGAAGTGCACCTCCACCCAAATCTTTAAATTAGGATATCTTAAAATGGTTTGATAAACTTACAGTTTCCTAAAACATTAAGGAAGTAACTTTAGATGTATACTGTTGAATATTTGGGTTTTTCCCCCCCACTTTACACACTGGTAAAGATGGAAGAATGCACAGTGTTCAACCATGATAAATGATTCACAAAAATTACTAGCAAGTGCTAATTTTCCTCCACCAGATGACTAATTCCTCCAAGAAAGGTGACTATACCCATCTTAAAATGACATTTTTCAATATTTAGTCAATACAGTTACAGGAATCTCCCCAAGAAAAGCATTCTTTAAAGGTGGGAGGAGCAATATATGAAGCCTGTTTGTCAGACAGTAGCTCATCCTTTTTTGGAATTTAACCTGGGGACTTGGAGGGATGTTAAGGATATCCGGAGTAACAACACCCCACAACAAATGTTGTACCTTTGACTTTGCAACAGTGGAACTTCTGTTTGCCCCCACTTTGAAAAATATGAAAGTTGAGAGGTGGATAAGCAACTGGTTAAAGGGGAGACTACAGCGGGTTATATTGAAAGGTGAACTATCAGGTTGGAGGAAGGTTACTAGCGGAGTTCCTCAGGGATCTGTTTTGGGGCCAATTTTATTTAATCTTTTTATCGCTGACCTTGGCACCAAATGTGGAAGTGTCCTGATAAAATTTGTGGATGACACAAAGTTGGGAGCTATTGCCAATTCAGAAAAGGATCGGGATATCATACAGGAATATCTGGATGATCTTGTAAATTGGAGTGATAGCAATAGGATGAAATTTAATAGTGAGAAGTGTAAGGTTATGCATTTAGGGATTAATAACAATAATTTTAGTTATAAGCTGGGGACACATCAGTTGGAAGTAACGGAGGAGGACAAGGACCTTGGAATCCTGGTTGATTATAGGATGACTATGAGCCGCCATTGTGATATGGCCGTGAAAAAGGTTAATACGGTCTTGGGATATATTAGGCGAGATATTTCCAGTAGAGATAAGGAGGTGTTATTGCCATTATACAAAGCATTGGTGAGGCCCCATTTGGAATACTGTGTGCAGTTCTGGTCTCCCATATTTAAGAAGGATGAATTCAAACTGGAACAGGTACAAAGAAGGGCCACTAGGATGATCCGAGGAATGGAAAACCTGTCTTATGAAAGGAGACTTAAGGAGCTTGGCTTGTTTACCTTAACCAAAAGAAGGCTGAGGGGGGACACGATTGAACTCTTTAAATATATTAGAGGGATAAATACCAGGGAGGGAGAGGAATTATTTAAGCTTAATACCAGTGTGGACACAAGAACAAATGGATATAAGCTGGCTAGTAGGAAGTTTAGACTTGAGATTAGACAAAGGTTTCTAACCATTAGAGGAGTGAGGTTCTGGAACGGCCTTCCAAGGGAAGTAGTGGGGGCAAAAGATCTATCTGGCTTCAAGATTAAGCTAGATGGGTTTATGAAGGGGATGGTTTGATGAGATAACATGATCTTGGTAACTAATTGACCATTCATTATCAGTAGTAAATAGGTCAATGGAGGGATGGTAGGAGTTACTATAGAGAACTTTCTGGGTGTCTGGCTGATGAGTCTTGCCCACATGCTCAGGGTTTAGCTGATCGCCATATTTGGGGTCGGGAAGGAATTTTCCTCCAGGGTAGATTGGCAGAGGCCCTGGAGGTTTTTCGCCTTCCTCTGTAGCATGGGGTACAGATCACAGCTAGAGGATTCTCTGCATCTTGGGGTCTTCAAACTATTTGAAGGCTTCAATATCTGAGATATAGGTGAGAAGATTATTCTAGGAGGGGTGGGTGAGATTGTGTGGCCTGCACTGTGCAGGGGGTCAGCCTAGATGATCATAATGGTCCCTTCTGACCTTAAAGTCTATGAGTCTATGAGTCTC